CCAATCAAAGGGTTGCCGATCAATGTTTCTACTATCGATGCGTAGCCCCTGTTAAGCCACCCAGTGATCTCACATTACTTCATCCAGCTATACTAATCGTCAACAACAGGTGTGTTCGGAGAACCGGGATAGCGAGCTCAAAGTTGGCGCAATGAGTTGATCTTGGATGTAGTAAGCGAGGTACGAAGAACGGGCCCCTGGTTTCAGGGTCAGACTTAAAAACCTTGAGATCAGGCTCCACAGAGTTCAGATGGAATCTCCTGTAAAGAGTGTAAGCTGATGTCACACTTGGATTTCACAAGGTAGCTCTGATTTCTGGACCTGCAGTAAACAATCCTGAATCTTAAATTTAATAAGATGCAAGTATAGATGTGTACATCAAGTTTTTGTGTTTTAATTTTAATGGATTTTATTGCTCTGAAATGTTATTCCTGTCACATTTACATAATTCCCCCTCAGAAAACAGTAGTGTTTAGTTGTAATACTTGTATTATAAATTTATAGAAATATCTTTTAAAGCCAACTGATAAGTGTCAGTCTTGGTAGCTGGGGATCGGTCTGCCTCCGCTCCTGGCCACCGCCTGACTCGCATTGCACCCGACTCCTACGGTGCCTCCTGCAGGTGGTGGGCCTGCAGGAAGATGGGCCCCTGTCCCTTTTTCGGGGTGTGTCCCCATGGACTAAGGCCTGGCCAGCACACGCTCGCCCTCGGGCACCCTCCCCGGGCCTGACTCCAAGGCGTGTCCCCGGTAACCATATCCCAGGCAGGGTGAACTGTTCCCTCGATGGTCTTTTCATAGGGGTCTTCTGAATCGCTCTTTGTCCAACCGATGCCAAACGGATGATGTCACAGGTTCGGAGTTTTGACTGCCGTCCCCTCTTAATTTCACTGTGATTAATATGTTATGAAGCTTAACTTTAATCTCAGCCAAACCGATTTACTCAAATAAAACTCTGAAATAGACCAAACATTAAGATTTGGAAGTTATCTAAGAGACTTGTATATCATGTTTAACCTGAGTAGCAAAAGGCCGAGGGGGGTGGGGTGGGGGGTTGAAAACGATGTGTGGGAGTCTGTTCTCGCTGGGCTCTAGTGATCCTTGACCTCGCAGTCTGCTATCAAGCTGGTGGGTAACAGGCATCTCCGGAAACGTCGAAGCACTTTTGTATATATGGGATATCTTGATAAATCAAGCAGATATTTGAAGTTTACACAACTACATTCTATCCTGAAAATAACTTAAAAGTTTATTTTGTGACCCAGAAAGAGTAATATTTTAAAAAATATTTAGCCACGCTCCTCCGCCGTTGCCGTGTTTAAATTTTGGACGAAATGCATTCTGGGCTATTTAGCTGTACCAAGTTCACACAAGTCACCACCAATGCATGCTCGATAAAATGGGCGGAGTGAGAACACATCTGGGAATTTTTTGCGTTCTCTGCTTGATGCGCATGTCACTGTCACTACCTGATCCGTACTGGAAACCCGATCGGTACCATGCATGTGCGAAAGGCCACTATTTCTGCTCATTTACGATAGTTACGGGTCAGAGTATCTGTTAAGATGTTAACAATAATAAGTATCTCTTAAAATGTTATAATGAAACATTTCAATTTAACGTAGAGAAAAATGAAAAATAAAAAGATAGCCACAGATCAGGACTCCCCGATCCTTACTGCACATGTATGTGCAAAGTCAGACCGTACAAATCGGATCTACCCGATTCGTACCGCGGATGTGCAGATGTTTTCTTCTTCTGTTTCTTTTAATGGCAGTTTACTCCCCAGTGTACGAGGATACTGCCACCTGCTGACCGAGCGAATGAACCCTATTGTAAACTTAACTAGGCGTGTTAAATTTGATTTAGCGATAGTCGAGTGTGTTTATACTTGTCTGTGTGGAGAGGATTGTTGGAATAGTGATGAGGATTTCCGCTATCACTGTCAATTGTCAGTAAACACTTAATCTGGGTGATGAATCTTCATGTGACATATTACTAGATCTGTATTATTAAGTCTGTAATTAGGCGCCATTCTTCTTATTTTACAGCGTTGTTGTTCAATTGGGGGACGCTCTCTGTTAAGGAGAAAAGCATGAATTTGTTTGTATACGGATTATCTGTTGTTTACATGTCCAGGGCAGTCGAAAAGGAGGCTAGGAGCTAACTGGACGCTAACCGTGTCACTCAAATAATTAACTGTCGCAATGTTGGCAAAGAGAAGAAATGACGTAAGATTTGCGCATGCGTGGTATGGATCGGGTAGCGACA